CCTTCTCCTACGTAGCCATGATGTTGTGATTGCTGCAGAATGTGGTCTGGCATTATCGTGTTGAAAAATGCAGGGTCTTCCCTGAAAGAGATGACGTCTAGATGGGAGCATATGTTGTTCTAGAACCTGAACAAAGTTCTCTGCATTAATGGTGCCTTTCCAGACATGCAAGCTGCCCATGCCACAAGCGCTCATGCAACCCCATACCATCAGTGATGCAGGCTTCTGAACGGAGCGTTGATAACAACTTGGGCTATCCTTGTCCTCTCTGGTCCGGATGACATGGCGTCCCAGTGTTACATAAAGAACTTCAAATTGTGACTCATCTGACCACAGAACAGTCTTCCATTTTGCCACACTCCATTTTAAATTACCCCTGACCCAGTGCAAACGTCTGAGCTTGTGGAGCTTGCTTAGAAATGGTTTCCTCTTTGCACTGTAGAGTTTCAGCTGGCAACGGCGGATGGCACGGTGGATTGTGTTCACTGACAATGCTTTCTGGAAGTATTCCTGAGCCCATTCTGTTATTTCCTTGACAGTGGCATTCCTGTTTGAGGTGCAGTGACGTTTAAGGGCCCGGAGATCACGAGCATCCAGTAGAGTTTTACGGCCTTGACCCTTACGCACAGCGATTGTTCCAGATTCTCTGAATCTTTTGATGATGTTATGCACGGTTGATGATGATAATTTAAAAGTCTTTGCTATTTTACGCTGGGTAACACCATTCTGGTATTGCTGCACTATCTTTCTGTGCAACAATGGTGGAATTGGTGATCCTCTTACCATCTTGGCTTCTGAGAGACACTGACACTCTGAGAAGCTCTTTTTATACCCAATCATGTTGTCAATTGACCTAATTAGTGTTAATTGGTCTTCCAGCTGTTTTCCAGCCACTTATTGCTACTTGTCCCAACTTTTTTCGCATATGTTGACACTGTGAAATTTTGAATCAACATATTTTTCCTTTAAAATGTTACATTTACGCAGATTAAACTTTTGATCTGTCATCTATGTTATATTACAAATAAAATATTGACATTTGCCATCTCCACATCATTGCATTCAGTTTTTATTCACAATTTGTTTAGTGTCCCAACTTTTTGGGAATCCGGTTTGTATCTAAAAATGCCAGTTTACATCACATTTTTTCTACACATAATAAATGGGTTGTTTGTGGAACCATATATTGTTCTAGTAGTTGATAGATGTGCTCTTATTGACAGCAAAGTTTTGTGTTAAAATAGATTTATGGATTTTTTTTTTTATTTGTTTGTGAGGAAACATATATTTTCTTACCAGTTAGCATATTCATGTCATTAGCATTTTTATTTCATGGTATTAGGAAAGATGTTTTATTTTAATTTTAAAGAAAGATAATAACTATTTTCATTTGAGGAAGTACCAATTTCTGTTTGTCAGAACGGCAGATTTAGACGTCTTATTAAAAAAATAGCCATTTTAAACTTGTGCATCAATTAAAAAAACATAAATAACTTGTTTTTCTCTATCAAATTACAATCTTATGAACTATTTCTGAACTCATTAGGAGTTAACAGAATCATAAATCCAACAATTTGTGAGATGGTTTGTTCTTATCTGCAGTCAGTGTTGGCTATGTCTGCCTGTCTGCTCTGAAATGGATTGTTGACGTGCTTATCTTCTCAGACGAGGCAGTATCTGGTAAATTTGAGCTCACAGAAAGTTGTCGTGGAACTAATGGTTCAGGATGCCTCTTCTCTAACTGGCTGATAAATTCAGTCTTTCCCAAAGCTGGGAAACCAACACCAAGTGCCAACGCAATCCAAATAAATAATTGCTGCCGGCTGTAAAGTTTATCTCTTCTACCAGCCATTTTAAGAGGTAAACACACACCGAGTGTATCCTTATCAGTTTGTTAAATGATTAAAGCTGTCTGCACCTACTTTAGAGTAGAAAGGTCTGGGATGCCTCCGTAAGAATAGTAGTACTGTGTTTCACCATGCTCTCTATACACCAAGTTATTGTTACTGTAAAAGCAAAAGTACACTGATATTTGATTTTTAGAAAAATATTCTTTTCACCTTCAGTCACCCCAACACAGCCAGTCTGATGAAAATGTTGTTGTTTTTTAGGGTTTTAAAAAGTGCATTGACTCTTGGGTAAATAATAAATAAATAAAAAGTCAAACTATAAATGCATTGCTTTCATTGTAAAGTAATTTTTGATTTATTATTTTGCTTTAAAAATAAAAAAAAATTCCAACTTTGATTTTCAGTAGAATTGATCGTTTCGTCGCCTCTCAATCCGCTTGAGTGACTGTGTTGTAATCTTTAATTTGGATGTGGATTTATTTTAACTTGACAACTTAATAGACTACCTTCCTAAATAGCTGCCGTCAGATTCACAGGTAAACATTAACCATTTGTCTGCTGAATTAATATATGATCATTCAACAAGGAGGTGATTTCCAGCACGCCAGCAAATACACAAGTAAAGAAAACAAAGTGTTGTTATGGTCCAGACTAAACTTGAATACAGTACTAAGTCTGACTTTATCTGGGAATTTTTTTTATTTTTGGTCAGTGCTGTGCTCTTGTAATCCTGAAGTTGCAAATTTGAGCCCAGGTTGCATCAGAAAGGGCATCTGTCATAAAACGTTTGCCAAATCTGTCATGCGAGTTCCCTTCGCTGTGGCAACCCCTGAAAAAGGGAGTGGCAGAAAGAAACTTACTAACATGTAAAAAATGAGTTTTCTTCTTTTTGATACCCTAAAACATTTAAACAAAGAAGTTGTAGAAAAAGTATTTCAATAAAATAGTACATAAATCATTGCGATAAGTTGTCAAAGTAGCTTAAAAAGTCAGGATAGGATTCTAAAGTCATTTCTGTTGTTGTGTTTTTTGTTTGTTTTTCTTCCCATTTTTGACAATTTGATCGGCAGTCTGAAAATATCCTGATGCATGCTCAATCATCCAGGTAGAAACATCCAAAAAAGTTCAATCTGGGTCTTTGGACGTTCAAAAAAACAAAACGAAGCAAAACGAAGCGGTCTGAAAGCATCAATGGACTATTGCTATCTATAATGTGAATGTTAGAAAAAAAGAAAGCAATATGATTTTATTTGCTTTGTGATAAGAATCTATTACTATCCTCAAATGGTTACAACTGTATACGCTGTTCAAGTTTTATTTGTTTCTTAAGGTTGTGTTTATCATAAAAATCATATTTCCTTTTCTAAACAAAAGAAGCTTTTTTTCTTCGGATGCATCATTTTTCTCTCTTTTCTTTCTTCCTGTTCTGTTTAGCTTTAATTGTTGGGTTGGAAGACGCCAGCCTGTATTTGTACCACCTTTTTTCTGTGGGACCTTGTACTTTAATGCTCTGCTGATGAGATCTGGTTGCCCGGTTCTGGGCAACAAGCTCTCACTAACAGAGTTGTCATGTCCGAAGCCCCGCGGTCGTCTCCAGGGCTTTCATGGCAGCTCACTCGCTTACTCGCTGTTATTGGTGTACAGATCTCTGGGGCGTTGACCCAAGATGTGCTGGCATTTCCTGTCTAATTAGCAGTTTGTAGTGTGGTTTTTTTAAATCTTCTTTTTTCAGGGACAGGAAGACGAGATCAAAATCAAACCAACACTTTACTTTGTTACTTTTTGTTGAAAGGTGGACAGGTGCACTTAAACAAGTGCATATAAACAAATTATTCTGGAGCTTGCTTGATCCGCAGACACCGATTTTCCAGTTCTTGTAAGCTCGAACCAGCAGATATTAATTCTGGCTGATGTAGATTTCTCAGGAACTGCAGCAGCACTGTGGTTCGGTTTAAGACGGAGCTTTAAAGTTGTTTAAACTGCTGGGTGACACTGACAGAAAGCTTTAAAAAAAAACGTGCTGCTCAAAGTGTTGATGGCCATTTTGTTGCAGAAACATTTTACTTGTAAAGCATGTGGTGGGCAATAAAGTTGTGCTTCTTTTATGTACTTCATATTCTGTCCACTTTTAAGTGTTTGTTGTAAAGCTTCTTCGAGCTGACTGCACAGCGTCAGAGAAAATACAGGAAAAACTGGAACGTATTAATTATTTATAGCTCAAGGAAGCAAAGGGTAAAAAAAATAAATACCTACCTACAAACTCTAAACTTAGCTGAAGGGTTATGCAGTGCCAGTCCTCACAGGATGTTTGGTTTTCTGTTTGAACTTGACAAGCAGCCCTCCAGGTAGAGCTGTCATTTCTAACCTGGATCCGCCCGACCCGGATTCAGATTGGGCCGGGCCATAATAATGTGCTCAATGTGTGGGCTGGGTCCATGTCAGGCTTTTTATTTCGTAAGGGACACACGCAGCCGACAATCCAATATATGCCAACATGGCTTGCCATACTGTACCTGTTGCAAACGGCCGTTTGACCTTGTGCTGACCGGCCGGTTGAAAGAGGTGAAAAGTTCAGTTAAGCTTCAGATAGACTACTGCCAGAGATCCATCAGCCCAAATGGACGTTCATTCCTCCCACAGACCAAAATCATGCATGTTGGTCTGACTGGTAACTCTAAATTGTTCCTAAGTGTAAGTGAGAGAGTGAATGGTTGTTTCTTATTTGTCTCCGTGTCCCTGTGATGGACTGGAGACATGTCCAGGATGTACATCGCCTCTCGCACAGTGACCCCCCCCGCAACCCGAAAAGGGAGAAGTGGGTAAAGATATGGATGAAGCCACTCTTTATTGGTGAAAACAAAGATAAACTAAAAAAATGTGGTTTTCAAACTGGTGTTCTCATAACAAATATAAATTAAATACAGATTGAAGTGATTAAAAATTAAGCTGATGTCTGATGCTGTATAGATTACTCACTTTAAAACCAAAGTAATATTTGAGATATTAACTGGGAACTCCATTGCAGCGTAATGATTAAAGATTGCATAAAGAAAAGGTGATGATCCTGGTCCACATTGCTAAACATTGATTTAACAATGTTGACAGTAAAGAAACATGTTTTCAGTCCTTTTTTGTCTTTCTGATTTCCAGCAGGTGAGGTGAAGATGGTGGACCGGCTTGCTAACAGCGAGGCCAACTCCAAACGCATCGCATTGGTGGAGAGCTGCTTTGGTGCTGCAGGCCAGCCGCTAGCCATCCCAGGCCGTGTGCTGATCGGAGAGGGCGTCCTCACCAAACTCTGCCGGAAAAAACCAAAAGCACGTCAGTTTTTCCTCTTCAACGACATCCTGGTCTATGGCAACATTGTCATCCAGAAGAAGAAGTACAACAAGCAGCACATCATCCCCCTGGAGAACGTCACCATCGAAACGGTGCCAGACGAGGGCGAGCTGCGCAATGGCTGGTTAATCAAAACTCCCACCAAGTCGTTCGCCGTCTATGCTGCCACTGCCACGGAAAAATCCGAATGGATGAATCACATCGGCAAGTGTGTGCGAGAGCTGCTGCAGAAGAGTGGCAAGGCCCCGACAGGCGAGCACGCTGCTGTCTGGGTACCTGATTCAGAGGCAACGGTGTGCATGCGATGCCACAAGGTGAAGTTTACTCCAGTCAGCCGCCGCCACCATTGCAGGAAGTGTGGCTTTGTGGTTTGCGGTCCGTGCTCGGAGAAGAAGTTCCTGCTGCCCAGCCAGTCGTCCAAACCAGTTCGTGTGTGCGAGCACTGCTACTTACTGCTGATGTCCGATAGCCTCGGGCCGCGCTCAGATTCCATCACCCTGTCGGGGTCGAGCTTCAACAACAACACCTTGTCGGACGATGAGGACGAAGACGACAGCAGTGACTGAGAAATGCCCCAACCACTCCAGGACCTGTCCCTTCTCTGCACCGAGGAGAAAGTGCTCTTCCTTCAAACCATTGCGTCATCAATTTCCTTCTTTTCTCCCGCCGATTGAATCATAATCCACCGTGAGAAGAATTGAATCTGAGGAGTCATTCAGTGTTTCACTTTGGAGATTCAATGGACCTAATTCATAAATTTCTTACACTAACTCTAGCTGAGACGGACACTTTCCAGAAAACTGTAATTTCGTCAGTAAAACATGGAACGACCAGCAGAACTCTCTGATGGTTCACCTCAGCTTGGACTTCTCTTATTCCTGTCATGCCTCTTAATTAGGCTGCAGATATTCACTACAAAAACAACGGTGCTAATGAGATTTCCCTCCTGCACTGTCCTTTGGTTTCGTTTTTTCTTAATTGTTCAAAAAGGTGATAATTCACTGTCTTTGCAGGGAAAGAAAAGTGTTCATACTTTACCATCCATCACCTCTGTTGTGCATGTATTACACCAAGCAGGGGGACTATCATGACAGATTCTGGCCTTTTTCTTCCATATTTTTGTACATTTGTTGTTAGAAAAATACACAAATCCTTTTATACTGGTAACAAAATGTAGATATTACGCTAAGCCTTGTGATTTTCTAGTAATCCTAATGCAGTTGCTTGTGACAAATCAGCTAAAGCTTATCTCAGCGAGCGTTTATCTTCCCAACACGTTTTTAGAAGATCAGCGGTTATTCCAAAAACTAACACTTTTCTTTGCTTGTACTGTCACGCAGTGCCTTCTAGAACACTGAGCTACGCTTTTAGGAAGGAACAGGTTCATAAAATATACCAGGCAGCGGCTTCATGGTTGACTCAGAAGCACATTACGCTGGGTGGGTTTGTGTGCCAGTGGCAAAGAAAAAGGGATCTTACCGACCAGCATGCACAAAGAAAAGGTCAAGTTTGGCCTCGGAAATGTCTGAAACGCTCTTAAACCAGCCAGCAAATCCTAAAAGACCGCTTTGACTGTGAGGGTTTGTTTAGGTCTGCCTCATCCAAACCAGTTCAAGAATAGAAACCAGTTAACAGCCCAACAGCAGAGTTACTGTCTCCTGTGAGCCGGTTCAGCTTTATTCAGGAGGTAGAATAGAACCACAACTTTAAAGAAGCCAGGTAAACATCCTGCATTAGTGAGCACTTACCGCCTTCAATAAGACGATAAACAAATTAAAAAAAGAAGAAAGTACTAATAAAAAGCCAATTCCTGAGAAATGCAGTTGCATTTTATAAAGCTTAATCTGATCTGAACTGAACAGCTTTAGCTGTGCGTCTTTGATCACGTGTCCAGTGTTGCATATTTGTGTTAATGAACTGTTGAGTTGTGTCCCCTGAGAATTTCTGGACTTGCTCAGAAACTGAGATCATAAAGTGCAAAAGTGTTTTTGATTCATTACTTTTGATCTGTGTAGAGTTTATTCCTTAATATAAACTAAAGCAAAGATGGACAAGGGACACGATAGTGTTTTTTAAAGAGAGACGTCCTGTTTGTGGATGAATGAAATGAAATGCAAGTCGCATATTTCTGTATTAAGCCGTGTTTATGTAAGTCTGTCACGTTGTGCAGCTGAGGTGGAGTTCTGGAACGAGAGTCAGGAAATCGGTGCGGCGTCTTCCTGCCCGTAACACCCCCCCCCCCCCCCCCCCCCCCCTCCGCTGCTCTGAGGTCAGATGGCCACACTGACTCATAAAACAAACACACCCCTTCTGAACTCTGCTCCGCCCAGGAGTGAGCATTGCCATCCTTCCTTCCTTTCGTTTGCACCACCATGACTTTGAAAAGCACCATCTGTGGGGTCACGTGACGCTGAGTGTGACGTGAGTCATGTGATCCGTCACCGAATCAGAAACTGAAAGGGGCCGTGTGGAGTCAAGCTACCTGTCGCAAGCAGCGACGGCCGAGTTTCAGGTTCATGTCGTTTCTGATAAAACTTGTGCTTTTAGTGATTTCTCTGAGGAGTTTCCTTCCTTTGACAGCAGCTTTTATTCCCCCCCCCCCCCACACTCATTACAGGTTCTTCCAGTTCTGCTCGTTTCACAAAGTTTAAATTTTCACATTACTTGGGATCTTTAAGGGAACAAGATTATTAGTTTAAATGCAAGGATGCAAATTTAGACGTCACAATTAAAAGCAATTATTAAATCTCAGAAATGCGTGTAAAATGTCAAACACTCTTTACAACTGTAAAAAAATGATCAGCAGGAATATTTTTTTGAAGCTGGATAAGCATTAAAAATGCATCCATCTACCTTTTTATTTTAAGTTAAATAACGCCCTGATAGTTTCACTCCCAGCTTGATCTGAGCAAACAGCCGGCGTTCGATGCATCGGAACGTTTTGATGCCGAGATAAAATATTCACCCAAATATCTCGTCTGCAGCGTTTTTGTCACGATTGCTTCGATTTAAGCAGAACGCTGCTGTGCACTGGAATGAAGCGCCTCGTAGTTGCAACAAAAGTAAAAGAAAAAAAGAAATTTGATTTCTTTGAATATATTTCAGAGTCCCAATGTTTCGGAGGCCAGCTAGGGAAAATCAGTTTGTTTCTTTTACGTCGATTGTATGCGTGTCTGCAAATGGCTACCGTATTTTTCAGACTTTTAAGGCGCAGTTAAAATCCTTTAATACTCTCAAAAATGGACGGTGACAATCTGGTGCGCCTTGTGCATTAATTCTGGTTGTGCTTCCTGACCTCGAACCGATGTCATGCGGTGCACGGCGCTCACAAATCTGTCAACGTGAACTGGTTTCACTTAATGCGCCTTATAGTCCGAAAAATACGGTATTTCTGTTTTTCTGTAAACGAAGCGTTATCTTTGTTGTTGTTTTTTTTTTTTTTTACAGTGTATGTATTAGGACGTGCCTCGTTTGAACCGCAGCGTTCAAGAAGCACAAAAGAAGGGAAGAAAGTCCTGTGTTTATTTTAATAATGTAACGTTACTGTTGCTGCAATAAGGTGTGTGATGAGGAAAACGACCAGTTAACGATCACTAACTAGCTGACCTTTATAGTTACTGTGGCCGAGGTCCAGAAGCACAAAGTGGGGCCTCAGGTTTTCTGTGGGTTGCATCTGAAGTGGACACGTGGACTACGACCACACACTGTCAGAGCCACAGTAACTCGTGATTTTTCGACACGTGCACATTTGTTTAGGGCTGTTTTTGTCGCTCCGTTCTAAAATGATAACCATCTGAGGACCTCCTCTCCTTCCTCCTGCCTGGGAAATCTCAGCAGCTTGAACGCGCTCTCGGCAGCAGCAAAGGCAGGAAGTGTCTTTATAAACCGGTCACGGCTGCAGATCCTGCTCTGACTGCAGCAGGCGGATCAATTCACAGCCAACAGCATCTGCATTTCAACAGTCCCCGTTGCTCGGGGAGGTCAGAGGTCAGCAGCTGGCTGGGGATCGGGACAGAGGTGTGGGTTTCTGTTCTTTTACGCACACTTGGTTACCTGATCGCTGCCACGGTTAAGAGATTATTTGAATACAAGCCGTGGTTTTACATTGAGGTGGGGCATTATGGAAAATACTGATGCGCTCTTGTGAAATAACTTGATCCAAAGTTCGAAACGATTCAATATATGATCTGCTACTAGCTGTGTAGCCTGGCTATACAGCAGTGCTTAAGTTATTTTTTTTAACACATTCGAGCGATTCAGCTGCTTAAATTCAACCGAGCTGTCGAGTTTTATCTGAGGATCCTTGTCTCGTGGGGTTTTTTTTTTTTTTTTTTTGCGCCCCGAATGAAACTTTTCAGTTTGTTTTTGTGTTCACACTGCGAGCAACATGTAAAAAAAAAAATCTCCTTTTGATGATTGTGTGTTTTAAAGGTTTGGTTAGGGTTAACTGCGATGACGCACACAAATACGTGTCATTTGATTTTCCTTTGTAATGTGGACGGTAAATTTTAAATACGTCGGTGGTGAAAGGAGTTCAGAGAAGGTTGCATTAATAAACACTTCTCTTCAGCTCAGAGTCCATGCTTTATTTATCTTTTTACTGTCTTTTTATATTGATTCCCCCCCCCCCCCCCCCCCGTTGAGCTGATCTGCTGCGATCAGACAGCGTTTGCTCATAAACGTAGTATTCTTAAAGTACACATCAACAAATGAAGCGTTATTAAAGGCTGTAAATAATCAATAACTCCAGGGTTTGCTCCAGTTAATAAACTGAATAAAGGCTTTGATTGTGTTTTGAAGTTAAACCGTCCGGGTTGTTTCAGCTCGGTTTCATCAGCGGATCATGACGGATCCAATCTGAGTTGGGAGATTGATTATAGTTTGAGTGGGAGGATCTGATTTTCTGATCACATGGGCTGTTGCACAATTCAGTTCGAGCATATTTCTGGCAGATTAAACTGAGTGAGGTTAAAAGTGAAAAGTAAAAAGTCTTAAAGGTTTCCTTGTTTTTTGATCTACATCTTAAAATACAATTGGTTTTGTCATATATTTGTATTTTAATTCATTGAGAAACTCGTTTTTATTCATTTATGTGCTGCCGGCATTTATTTGTTCCGTCAGGATTTCAAATGGCGTCACGCTTTAACTAAACTCAAAATCCCATAATGCAACAGTCCTGTCAGAAGGAGTTCATTTATGGAGTCAGCCTTCCTTGAGGAAAAAAAAAAATCTGGCTTGTTTCAGTGTTTAAAATAATTAGAATTTAAATTTGAGCAAAAGGCAAGAACATTCATTTGTTTGGAAATATCTTTTAACGGCTTATTTATTTTTTTTGTAGAGCCTAAATTTGATTCGTAACGGTCTTTAAAATGTATCAAGAAGTCAAAATTAACGGACTGAAATCTGCAGAAACTCTGTAAAAATAAATAATAATAATAACCATTGTAGCTTTTGTTTATCCAACAAGGATTAAATACGTTCTGTAGAAGCTGAACACGGTGAAACTGCAGCTCAGTCTAACGGATGAGAGTTTAAAGGGTTCAAAATGTTAATTTAACACAACAAAAAATGTCATTTTTAACCCATCCTACTGTAAAAATACAAATAATTAGCAAGATGTAAAAATAACAAACGTCAAGCACTTCGTTTTAATAAAATAAATTCTAAACCATCCAGATGTTTTGGTCTCCAGGGCCCAAATGTTCATATTTTTCACCCAAACGTTCGATTCCGTCCCTAAAAAGAGACAAAAACATGAATCTGTTTCAGACGCTGGAGACTGAAGACGCATGGAGTTGCTCAATAATTTGTCGATGAATTGACTGAAG